AGTTGGCGGTGGGTGGTGATGACTAGTTGCCTTCCCTCTAGTCTTACACTGCCAAATTAGGGACGGCTAGCGCAGATAGCCCTCGTGTAGCTTTGCGCGAAATTCAAAAACAAAACAAAACAAACAAACACTAACAAGTTATTCTATTTATGTATTTGCTGTGAGTGCCAACGAATTTGGCAACTTGTAGAAACAAATATCTAAAATAATTGGTTTGAAGCAATCTAAAGACAAAAAAAAAGTTAATTTATACTAAATTTTTGTGGGCTAGACGTGGTCTAGTGGTTAGCGTTCGTGGACTTTTGTTCGTGTCCCGTTGGCGTATAAACGAGATCTGCACTTTGTGACTGTCGGTGCGTTATAAGAATAGCATCTCAAGAGTTGGCGATGGATTCTGTTGACTAATTGGCAGTCAATAATTTCAAAATTAGGGACAGCTATCCGCTGATAATAACTTATTTAGCTTTTTTTTTACGTGACAAATTTTAAATAAACAATCACATCTATGTAGATTTTTTTTCCTGTTGTGAGATTAACCCGAATAATTTAGTCGTTATATCTCTAATCGCTACATTAATGGCTAAATCCCTTACAGATAATAAATTCATCAAAGCCGAAAGTAACTCTGATATAACGTAACTGCTACGACTTATGTGATTTCCCGCATCCAGTCGGTAATACAACGTGAGTATCATTATGTCCAAGTACTGATTTGATTAAATCTCTCTTTCTTTTTGAAATAATATTTATATTTGTCCCCAATTAACTGAATGGAACTCTCAATATCCATTTTTCTCGTTCGTTTAAGAAAAAAAAGAAGAAGCGGAACATGAATGAATACCGGAAGCTATGTGTGCGCATAATCAATTATATGTCTTTACTGATTGGCAGCTAACACTTTTCTTTTATTGGATGCGTTTAATCACCTTATCGATCATAGTACTATAGAGGATGCTGAATTATTTGAGGTATTATGGATTTGTTTGTTGTTAAGCACAACGCTACAGAATGGGCTATCTGTGTTCTGTCAACTCCGGGTATCCGGGTGTGTTATAAGTCCTTAGACTTTCAGCTGAGCCACTGGGGAAAGGGTACGATAATGTAGGATCTGACTTACTTCATTTCTATACATTATTACGTTGAGTTCTCAATTTCTAATCAGTTAGGCCTGCTACAGAAATCTTGATCTATTTGTGTATTTTGGTAATTCAACATTTATGGTGAATATATTGAATAAAACATATCAACTTGGCTTAGTAAGTCTTCACAAAATAGTTTGAACATAAGCCAGTAAAGACACATATGTTGGAACTTTAGTTTAAAGGAGTTTGTGTTTCAGATTTTTTGAGCTAGTGATTTTGATAACAAATAATTGTCACCAATAACTTTATAAAATCTTTTTTTTTCAAATATATGTTAGAAGAGAGCCACATGTGTGATAATCTATTTGTACCAAAATTTGAGCTATCATTTCATTAAAAATAAGAAGTTCCAGTGACATCCATTCTGTTATAAGTAATGTTTCCCGTTTTAAGCTGTCTTAATACGTCTCTTACATATAAATTTCACGATTTTTGATATGTGCATGGTCACAATGTATCTTCTTTTTGAAAGACATTACTTGGATGTGATTTATAAATGACAAATATTTTACATTTATAGTTTTCTTATACCTATGTAGAGTTTCTTTAGCAGTGGATCACGATCAGCTTGGATATTGGATAGAGCTGATGATGAGAAACTACCAAAGATGTATGGCATCTGTTCCATCCTCCTTTCGTTCACTCAGAGTGGAAGACCTTCGGGGTGCATTCTTCTGCTTGTTCATGGGATTAGGTTTAGCTGTTATCGTTTTCATTTTGGAAACAATATTTGCTTTAAGTTATTTAAGAAGGAAGCCAAGGTGTTTGTCTAACTCTTGAAAATGTGAAAATTTAAAACAAAGGCTTTATAACAACTGTATATTATGATACACCAATAAAATTTTCTTGCACACCCATGAAAACCTTGACCTTTAACTTTTTCTAACTAAGGAACACCAGAATAGTTGCATTTTCACATTTGAAGTTTCTTCACCATTTTTCTCTTTTGGGTAAATATTTTTTAATTGAAAAGTAATTGGAATTTCTAACGTGAAAAGCACCTTCTGAACACGCCGGCTAAACAGGCAGGTTAGAGACCTCTGGTGTTCAGGTATATCCGTTTCTACTTTTGAGCTATTGATCAGAGAAAGGGCAGCTAGCCAGCAGCACCTTCTGCCACAATGGCATCATGTCGCGGACTTTAGACCTTACGATTTGCAGCCCAATGCACTAACTACTAGGCTACACCCAACCCTATCCTAAAATAAATTGGCAAGCTTTAAACATCAAATGGAACTTTACGAACAAGATGACCATTGTGAATCTTATGATAGGACATATTTCTAATAATATACTCCAGTCTTCGAAATTTGATTACTATTATTATTTTCTGTAAACCTAGCTTCTCCAACTTCTATTCCTAGGAGACTTACAGAATATTCGGAATTCTGTTAAAAAATTGTATCAATAAGAATAAAAAAAAAAGTTTGTTTATAAAATGTTGAAGAAATAGAAGTGCGAACAAAAAGCGCAGTTTTTCTAAAATTCATTACACGACATTTGTGTAAAGTGGTTGTCATTAAAAGAAGCTTCTTGAGTTCAAAATGGAACTGTAAAAGCTGTTCGTTTATGTAAACTACTGTCGGACTATATTATAGATTGCTATATTCAAGGCATCCGGGAAAAAAATATTTACTTGCGTTTTAAAGACCTTGAACGTCTGCTGCAATAGGTACTAGAATTACTTTGGACCAACGGATGTACAAATCGGCGTACATAGAACTTGATGGTAATAAATGTGCCCTGTGAGTGCACCATCCAGCGAAAGAGAAACTCTGTGTCACAATATTTGTTATTTGTTTATTTTAAGGGGAAGTAACTTCGTTTCTTTTTTTCAATATCTGATACCTACACGGTTTCAAGTACGTGTTATAGGATATTGTATAACACACTAACGTTCATGTTATTGTTTTTCATAGTGATCTGACGTCATCTAGAGTATTATTGACTAATATTTCGGTTTTACGTGATCACGTTAATAAACTTTCTGAATAAGCTGATGGTAAATGGACCAAAATTTATTAAGTTTACAGAAATGTATTCAGAAGAAAGAATTTTTGGAATTAGGTTTTTTTTCTTCTTCTAGTTATTTTTCCTGATTCCATTATATGAAATAATAAATATTGATATTTATGTTTTATTGTTTATTAAAATTAGTATCAAGTCCTGGCCAGGCATGTGTTTATTAACCTTGTTTTTGGTAAGTGCTAACTTTTATTCCACGTATTGTTACAGTTTAATAAATTGTTTTTTATTTTTGTTTTGTTTTTAACTCTGGTTGTGTACCGGCATGTTATTTTAGACCGTTACAAATTAGCTTACGGGTAGTAGTTATTAGCCATTTTGTTAGTAGCAAAATAATTCCATACTTAAATACTTTGTAGAATATCAAAGAAATATCGAGAGAGAGCAGAAAAGTCTAGTCCAAAACATAGGTCGTTATTTAAAAATGCAATCAAGTGAAAATTTTGAAATCGACGTCGAGGAATACGATTCTACTTGTACCTAACAGTTGTTTGCATTTTTTTAAATATTCTAATTATTAATAATACAAGAATCTTCTAATTTTCTAATATTTTATACAAATTTTCATCTAAATACTTCGACAGAGCGTGGTATAATAGTTATCGTGCTCGGACTGTGAGTCTTAGAAAAGCGCCACACAATTTGGGTTCATAGATCCGCTTTTAAGAATTCAATTATTCAATCAAATAACAATAGTCTAAGAGTTGATGGGGAGCGTTATTGCATAACAGCTTATTCTATAGTCTATCAGTTTGTAAGAAAGTTTTAAACAGATAGTCTAAAGATTTAAAGCTTAAAATATTATAACTGACAATAACATATATAATATAATAAATGGATGAAACAGGTAAATATTCTCAAAGAAGAAAAATGGCATAATTCTCTCAGCATCACGGGGAAGAAGACTCATCAGGATGTATGTTTGTTTTCTGAATTTGCGCAAAGCTACACGATGGCGGAAAGTGAAGGACTTAGAGAAATTATTCAGAGCAAAAAAACGAAGGTGCTTGAATGAATTTTAAAACTACCCTATAATGTACTCAATACTGCGTTGTTTACTAATGCCCAGGTTTCAGTAAAAT